AAATAAAAAAAACTAACAGAAGTCGTATGTTTAAAATTTGTTTTACTGATATTAAATTGTGATAAATAATTAACAACATAAATAAATCTATATTTTAAAAACCATTAATCACAATTCTCTTTTTAGATACAAATTTTTAACATTTAATTTAGGAAAAAATTAAATATTATCTTAGTAATATAATATTTATAATCGAGAAATTATTAAATTAATAATTATTTAACTGTTTTTTTTTTTTTTTGTTTCACAATTATTTACTACCAAAAATTAAAATTCAGCTCATAGGCAAATGGTAAATATTTTAAAATCAAATAATACCATTAATTCAGTATTAATTCACTTATAAGTAACACAAAAATAAATTACTGCCGATAATTTAATTTCACTAATATATCAGTTCAAAATTACATTAAATCGCCAAATTTCTAAACCTTAATTTTTTAGTTTTTTTTTAGTATCTTCCGGATGCGGTGACAGTGGTGTGGCGAACTCAATAATTTTCAAAGGCAAGTACATTTTGTCGACACCCACCCACAAAGGCCGTATCTGGGGAGGTCCAGGGTGTCTGGACCCCACCACAATTTCTTCAATATTTTACGAATGTTTAAAATACTTATTTATTTTTAATACCAACATAAATATTTTCAGTCAAAAATGACTTAAGCTCCAATTAAATATTGACTGCTTTCAATTTTACATCAAAATATCATATTAAAATATGATATTAATTTTAATAAAAGAAGATTAAATTTTTTTCTGTCTTATTTTTAACCAAATATCAAAAGTTAAAATCTTAATTCAATAAAATTACAATATACATGTTTTAGACCCCTCCCGAAAAAAATTTCAGATACGTCCTTGCCCACTCACCCCCTAAAAAACTGTGAGGCGGCCGCCTCTCGATTACCCATATTCCCACGCCACTGTTACAGAATGTATACTCAACTGTAACTTTTAATCAGTGGGTTTTTTTATAAATACTATAACTCACATCCACCCTAATAACGTAGCTATTTATATAAATAATTTTATTAAAACTCAATGTTTACTCAATGCATAAATTCTCGTCCTCAGTCAAAACTCTTACAACGGTATGGGAATTTTAGACCTTACGTGATTTACTAAGATATCACATAAGTAATATAAGTATTAATAACAATTATATATACTAAAAATGAATTCAAAAACAATTCTGAGCCAAGTTTGAGATACTCAAATATTAGAGATTTAATTGTGTTAAAAAGAATTTTAAATTGAAAACTATTGGTATTTAATGTACAAAAAATTACTTATTTTATAAGAAATATATCAACACATTTCTGTACGAAATAAGCAATTCAGCATTAATTATGTATATAGAAAAAATTAAGAATAATAATCTTTCTACAATACTCTTAATACACAATATCTTCTCCAATAAGATGCTTACTTTATATAAAATAAAAAATCTGTCATAAACAATAATAAAAAATTAAAATCAATATATTTGATTTATTTAAAAGACTTATCTTATAAAGCTGTAGACAACTTTTTTTTATAAAAAGAAGAACATTTTTTTCAAAGAACTATGTTAAACCAAAAACTTGTTTGATTGGACAAGTAATCATAATAGAAATTTTATCATTCTGACTTCTTTAATATTTCAAAAAGATTTACAATTTTAGATATAAATGATATTTAAGATAAAATCTTAGTACAAAAATAAAAATATATGATCAATTCAAATTATATTATAAATCAAGAATAATATTCAATTAAATGATATTCTAAAGCAACTGTAGTTTATTTACTTTTATTTATATAAAGTAAAAATGATTTATAAAAAAATGTTTAAAATAGATTTTGATATCATAATCAGCTTCAAATCATACATCTGCCCAGTTCAATTTTACATTTTTACAAATACTTTCTTAATAAATGATTGAGTACTATTTTCAAAAAACATGTTTTAACATTTGAAAGTCTAAGCAACTCAAAAAATGATAATAATTTTACAGTGATATTTTCATGTATTTATTCAACTTAAGAATAAAATTTAAATACATTTAGAATAACTTAGAATTATTAAAGTTACAGGTATAAACATGTGAAGATAAAAATGTTAAATTAATAATAGCTTACATTGTAATAAGTTTTATTACAATATATTTTAAAATAAAATAAAACTAAAAATATTCTCAAAAATATTGTATAAACGTTACAAAAAAATTAAAAAATTATTTATAGGCAATATTTTCATCATGACATTATACATAGTTTTTATTTTAAATTATATTATATTTAATTTAAAAAAACTTAACTTTCAATTATTTTTATACGATTTTTCAATATTTCTTAAATAAAACAATTTTTTTATAAAACTAAATGTATAATGTGTTAACATATTAGTTATTTATTGTAATTGCATTAAATTAAACATTACTCAAAGTGAAAATATTTAAAACTCAAATACATGAAAAAAAGCTCAAAATTATTTTTCAAATCTAAACTTTCAGAGCAATACATGGATATATTTATAATGTAAAATAAGTATAAATCAATTTGGTCTTCATACTTCCTCTGATTTTTATACATTCAACAAACTATATATAGAAAAATAATACACTTTTATCGTATAACATTTAAGATATATTCAAATTATATTATGTAAGCAAGGAATTACAAAACAAATATTCTTGATTCCTGATAATAACTAATTATATTATTGTATCTAATGAAAATAATTTAAATTAAATGGTAGTACAGTAGAACTTGGAAAAAATTATTTTATTTTGGTCGTATTATTTTAGATCATATAATAATTATACAATGAACATAGATGCTTCATGTCAATAGATTCAAATTTTCCGAAAACAACAATTATAAATATAAAATTTGAGAATTCTAATATTGCTATCATTAAGTTAAATAATTAAACCATCATAAAAGTAACTATTCTTATAGATAAAATTTAAATAATTCATTAACAAAAAAAAACAGTATTTGTTTAAAAATAGGCAGAGAAAATAATTTATGATTTGATTAAAGTGTCCAACAAACAAGATATTGATATTAATTTGACTACCTATGTATAATTCTATAATTACTATTTTATAAATTTTATTTTTAGCTCTACTTTATATTTATCAATATAAATAAATATTATGAATTTCAGAGTGGAAATATTTACTATCAAATAATATTTTAGTTGTATATAAGAATGCATAACAAATAAACTAAAACAATAAGAATTATACGAAGAACAAATTACTGTAATTATCTATAACATTATCATAAAAAAAGCTAACTCAATAATTTAAATATTAAGATAACAAAGTTATAATGACATAAAATAATAAATAATATTCAAATTAATATATTCTATATGTATAAAATGTACCAATAATTTACAAAATATATATTTTAAATCAAAAAATAATTTGCAAAATTATTAATTGAATATAAGCAACAATTAACAATAATTAATATAGGTACTATTTTATCATAAATTGAACTAATAAATATCTACTAAGCAAAATTATTTTAATTTAACATACAAATGGAACTAAAATAATTTATAGTAAGCAAACAGTATATTATTTATATAATTAAAATGCATAATATGTGAAACAAGTTTTATTAATTAATAAAAGAAAAATTATATTTTTTAAACACTGAAATACATTCAGCATTTATCATACGAGACCTGCTTCAAATTATATCTCCCTTGAAAATAAATATATATGATGTAATTATGTAAATATTGTATTAAAAACAAGTTATGTTCAAGATAATAAACTTATTAAAACACTCAAATGTAGATATGAATAATTAAATATTTATAATAAAATTAATTTCTTTCCATACAAATAAGTTAACTTACTCAAATATATTTTATAAATATTTGAGTACTTACTATAATTTGTTTTTTGATTTTTACATTAACATATTTGAAGGTAACAAAATAATTTAGTCATAAATTATTATAGATTTTAAATACTAATATTCAGTTGTCTGTACTACAAAACTCTATAAAATAAGGAGCAAATTACATTTAATATATAAATAATTAATTTTACCTTTGACAAAAAATTATATAAAAATGACTTTTATTTTACAATACAAATAAATAAAATAATTTTACACTTGATATTCAGCTATAGATTTAGTAATGTTTATATGGCACACTACATGAGGCAAATTAAGCATGAAAGTACACACAAAAATAGAAATTACCTATAATAGCCAAAAGAAAAGTTAGCTTTGATTGAACACTATACTCGATTATTCGAGCTGATAATAGAATCTCAAAACTACACAAATAGGTAGATATTAAATTATTTTACAGCAAAATTTCTTTGAAATTTATCATATTTTAATATACCTAAATCATTCATAAATATAAAAATAAGTAGAACTTATTTTACAATAGAAATTTAATGAAAAAAAACCCATGTTTATAATATGCTTTAAGAATACGTACATTATAAATTTTCTCACAGGCACAATTTTTAAGATTTTAAACTTTTTCTACAGAATTTTTCAATAAAATTAATTAATAGTACCTATATAATTTTATTTTGTGATTCTTTAAGCAATAAATATCTTAATGTTAACATTTATGAATTAATAAACTGATAAGCTTCTTAAGGCATGAAAATACTAAAATAATCAAAATACTCGCATTATAAATATTATTTTACAAACTGTTTGAAATAGATGTATATATAACAGTAAAAAGTGAATTAAATTTAAATACTAATTCATATAGGTATATAATATAAAACCAGTTTATAATATCAAATTAACTGATGATCAGTTTTTTTAGGATATAAATCAACAAGGATGAATAATACGGTACTCTATATGGACAATCCGACAAAAGGTAACAGGGGATATTGCATTTTTACTTCATCGTTTATCAGAGCACAAATATTAATCAAAGATAACATAATTGTTCTAGATAGTTCTATAACACAGGGGCATTGTATCAATCGCATTTTTCATATTATATAACATACCTATGAGCTGTTTTCCGGTAATACTTTTTGGTCGAAATATTAAAGATATTGGGAACGTTGGCGACGTCCATGATTGTAGAAACATCGCTGGACACATTCGATGACGTGGTGTCCATAACTGCAAACAAAGAATAATAAAACCAAGAGAGAAGAAGAAAGAGAACGGAGAAATAAAAGAAACGAAAGAGAAAAAAACCGTAAGATACCGACGACCGCGAGATTTAATCACTGCAATCGCCCAATTGTATGCGACGATGGACGGTGAATGAAGTGGTGCAATAACGATTTAGTGAGCGGTTCCACTCGATCGGTGACGACCCGTCGTACAATTATAACAATAATAATTATAACAGACTCGTAAACGGTTTTCAAGGAGCAATGGATGGGACGAGATTTCATATTATTATTATTATTATTATTATTATTGTTAAAATTCTCAACAGTATTAGCGACCAAAATAATACGGTCTTGGTGATAACACAGCAACGATGATGATAACGTTCCGACGATAAAAATACAATGTGGCCTTGTTAACAAAAGTGTTGGGCGCGGTCGACACCGCGTCAAGGAAAACTTGGGGTTGTTTGATTCGCATTAATCAGTGGTGACAAATAATAATCCACGCTCATGCACGATCATCAAGGGCGCCCATAGGAAAATTCTCAAAGGGGGGACAACATTTTATTTATCAATCTATTCATAAATAGGAATGACCCACGATATAGGAAGGGGCTTATAATTTTACATTATACTATTACATTATATATATCAAACTGGAAGACTATAAAATAATAATTAACCAATTTACCATATAAGTAATTTATTGAAATTTTTATTTAATTAATAATATAAATTGAACACTTAAAGCATTAGTTATATTTATTAAAATATTAATATACAAATATTATATAAATATTATGGTTGTACACACACACACGCAAATACATACCGTATTTCTGGAAATACACAATATTTTAAGAATTTATAATTATCCATAGAATAGAAACGAAAAAGCGTATTGTTATTTATAGCTGATAACCTGATTTTCCAAACTAAATAAATAGATTTTTCATAAACAAATTATAGATTTTCACTTATTAAATTAAATTTTTAAATTCTATTTAAATAAATATTTTCTGATCATAGTAAACAATTTTCCAAGATTTTTAACATTTTCCAGAGGGTATATGTCCTTCCCTTCCCCCCCCCCCCCCATATGGGCGCCCTTGACGATCATTGTTGTATTGTGATGCAGGCAGTGACGTCAGGGGCGTATTAAATGTCAATAAATGAGGGGGGAGGGGCAAAATAATTTTGCGTCCCTATGCGTATTGATAAACAAATATGTAAATAAGAATAAGAAAAAAAAATGTCTTACTTCGCTCAGTTATTTCTTCAATTTCACATTTTTATTGAATTTCAAACTTTATTGAAACCTTGATGTACGGTTATAATTATATATTTATGATTTACAACTAAATTACATTATGCTATAACAAAATCAATGATAATATAACCTACATTCATGTAATATAATTTAGGTACCTACCTACATCCATAAATCATAATTCATATTTTTGTGTCTGTTTAAATGCAAATATATGTAAATTAATATATTATTAATTATTATCTGTATAGTATACCTAATATGATGTACTACTTTAGAAAAAATTATTGTGACTAGGTGTTATTATTGTAATATATTTTTTTTTTTTTATTTAAATTAATATCAAAAAATTACTGGGCCTCACTAAAAAAAACTCGTGAGGAAGCCCAGGGATATTATAGTATTAATATAGTAATACATCACTAATAACTTCCAAGTAATATATTAAAACTTCTACATTTTTAATTTTTTAAAACATAATATCAGTAAGATAAAAGTAGGGCTGAGATTTTGTCCCAACACAAGTTCGTAAGACGAAAATGTATTTCAAGTGATACTGATTAATTTAATGTAGTTTTTATTTTGCATTCTTTTTAATTTTATGTCAAATTTTATTTTATATATATTTTTAGGGCATATGTTGCTATTTATAAGGCATTTTTCAAATTTTTAGAGCATTTTTAAGAATTTATCTATATATTTGGAAATATTAGGGTATTTAACTATGCGTTTCGACATTTGTTCGCTTAAAACTTGCACGTTTCGTATATAATCTATAAAATTGATAATCTTGAAAATCTTCCACTGATATGCATTTCTAAAATTTTATAATCTGAGACAGTTCTTTAAAATTATATATTAAAACTGTTGAACTTTGAAGTTCAATAATTTGCAATTGCATGTTAGGGTTGTATTTTTGGAGATATGTGACGCAATGATAAATTAATTAGGTAATATATAAGCTTTGTGGTCAATGGTACACTTTTAAAGTCATTACGGAATCGAGTGCAGAATATTAATTTATAATATATTATTATTATTATTAAAATAGTATGTACCTATCTATGATCTATAGGCAGGACCAGCGCTAACAAATATTGAGGGGTTGGATTAATAAATATACAAATTTGCCGACTACTTCCGAAAACAAAAATCTACAATACTTATATTACTTAATTTGTTGATTATTTCTGACTATATAAATATATTATTCAAAGGGGAGGGGGGTATTTTTCCCCATAACGTCAGCTCTGATTACGAGACTACGATAAAGACAAATCAAACATTTTGTGAAAATAAAATGGATATTTATTCGTTAGCTTGGTAATATTAAATAATAACGAAACACGAGTATAGTCTATGAATATCTCTATTAAGTTATAATTGTACAAAAGTGCATCGCGGGCCTTGAGCAAATAAATCAGACGGGCCTAATTGACCATAAAGAGTAAAAAATAAAAATACTTGTCCTATTTCTCAAATTCTTACAAATAAAGACGTATCGTTTGGTATGAATTTTGAAATTCTAGGGCGAGTAGGGTAGGTCTTTAGATTTATGATGAGGTCTGTTTACACATTCATAATAAACATGTTCTTTAATTAAAAACGGATAGCCCATGAATTTAATTGATATTTCTTCACGTTCAAGTGAAAATCTGTACTTATAACTTTCTCTTGACATCTTAGGCGGACATTTGGTTGAATATTTAAAGAGTTAAGGGGTTAATAATTCAATAAAAAATAACCCGCAGGTGCTTCGCCCCACACCCAGTGGCGCATTTAAAGGGGAGGGGGTGAAAGGGGCAAATGCCCCGGGCGACAAATTTTTGGGAGCGGCAAAATATTCTAACTTTTATTATTGATGTGTTTATGATTTTTTTAATTTTCACACCTTTTTCGGTATTGTTTAGTATTTTAAAAAAATATTGTTGAGCATTTAATATGAAATTAAAAAAATTATACTATACCTAGTCACCTAGGTAATAGTGAAATAGCAAAATAGGTATATTACATTTATTATTCAATATTATATTTTCGTTCAATGTTTATAATAAAGATTCGGGTACACAGAACGTGGGATTCACTATAGGCCACATTTAAGAAGTTTACAAAAGGAGTAAAATTATACCTAAAAGTGTTCAATGTATGTTAGTATTTATAAAAGAGAATAGTTTAGTTGAAGTATATCCTTATATTAACATTGCTATAAGGATGCTACTATATATGTACACCTTCAAGTAATTGTTCAACGGAAAAATCATTTTTTTATTAAAAAGTGTCAAAACTTATTTAAGATCAATAACGGGAGAAAATCGTCTTAATTCATTAGCAATCCTCAACATCGAAGCCGATTTAACAAGAACTATTAATTTTAATGATATTATTAAAACTTTTGCTTCTCAAAAGTTAAGAAAAAAAATTATAAATTATCGATTATTTTATCGCAGTTAACAAGCTGTTTCCCGACGAAATTATTAGTACACGAGTTGAAAAAAAAACGATACACGAGTTATGTTCCGACAAAAATTTATATTTTAATATGTCTTACTATTTTTAATATACTTTATTATCATACAGAGGTTAAAGTGTACATATGTAACGTATTATTGTAGATTTTTAAATAGCAATTCATTTTGCAATCGCCAATGTGTGGTCATCAATAGAAATTAAAGACTGTTAATTCCATTATGATCAAAGTTGATGGCGAAAAATTCAAGAAATCGGCTTATCAGCAAAGTATAAGGATTAATCTTCAAAAATAAGCATATTTTTAAAGTATATTTTTGGTTTGCCATTTCTTGATCCAGATGAAGTAGAAAAGCATTTGTGTTTAATTTGATGTCATGTAATGTTTCAAATAATTTCGAAGTTCTTAAATTTACAACTTATTTAATGGATAACTATGTCATGGATTATGCCTTATTTTATTCCTGTGAAAAATTTTATCTACGTATTATATGTGTAATATAATATTGTAATTGGAAAATATATCATTTTGTGTGTACAACTTTTGTAGATATTCCTGTACATTTTATTTTTTGGGAATTAATTCGTGTAACCCAAAAAAATCCATCGGATATAACTCCGTATTTGAGACACAACTCGTTCCCACATAACAGTATATATTAATAAGATATTCCTCAAGCGTACTAGGCATTCTATACATATCTATACACTTCAAAGAATATTTTTAAAATATGTTAATTTGGATATCATTATATAGATATCCATATAACATTCCATAAATATGTTTTACAATAAATCCTTTAAGTGTATATGATACTCATATTCGATATTTCATTTGTATAGAATATTCATTTCGGAGCATAAATATCCTTTTCAAATGGAACTTCACAGATTTTTTTTCTTTTTTATTTCATGTTCTACTCTTAATATACATAATAGATATTAAATATCAATTATCAATTTATATAGATATATAATACATAGGTAGTTTGTTTTAAGTTTTAACTTAATGTTAGGTACTGACTAGGTAGGTTTGGGTAATTGGTAATGAAAAATAATTATTCCTGCAGTTATCCGCACGGCGCACTCCCTGTAACAGCTGCACAATTTGCGACCTATTTTATTATGTAAGTATAATTATTAATAAATATAATATATTTAATGTAATAAAAAACCATTTATTGTTGATCATTGTGTATATAATAAGTGCTGATTTTATTTTCTATATTTAATATATACATATATACATTTTTTTTTTTTTAAGAAAGGAATATTCAGTTTAAATAAAAAAGATTAGGTTAACGTTAGGATATGTAGGTATAACTATAAAATTATCTAATACAATATCGTAAAACAACTGATTTATAATTTGTTTCATAAAATTAATTTTTTAATGCTTAACTTTGAATTTATTTATATATATATATATTTTTTTTTTTTTGGTGATGGTAAGGGTGGAATAATTATTTTGCCCCGGGGCGCGTTTATTTTAAATACGCAACTAACCACACCCCCTTTCCACAAGTAAAACTTATTACTATTAAAAATATATATATATATATTTTTAAATTGTATTAAAAAAACACTAAATAACGTATATTTAAAAATAATTAATATTTTATTTTAATGATAAATATCTATTTGTATTAGCAAAGATATTCAAAATATCATCGCTTTTTATATTTTTCTTTATATCTTTTTTAATATATAGTATTGAAAAATCGCTGAACCTATCTTGAACCAACGATGTCCTTAGCCAAGTTTTTATTTTTTTTCATTGCATTGAAACTTCTTTCGCAAGTAACCGAACTAATTGGTATTGTTAATGCTATTGTAAATAGTTTTTTATTATTTCTTATTTTACGATTTTCAAAAAAACGAATAGATGACAGATAATTATAAAAACAACAAATAACATTTCTAACAAAGTTTCGATTTTAGGGAGAGGCTATTAAAATATTTAGGGGCTTAAACCTCCCCCCCCCGATATTTTCCTATGGTTAACATTGTTGTTAATATTTCATATTTTCAAATGATTTCAGCCGTTATTTACTAAAAAATACACATTTTTTTAATAATTACCATCATATTTTAAAGATTTGGATACAACAAAACCAATACCTAATTCCAATAAATTTGTTGAGAATGATTTAAAATAATTTTTTTCCCCTTAAATGGAAGTTTTATTAACTATGGATTTTTCTAAAACTTTTTCAAGGAAAATAAAATATTTATTATTGTCCATTTCAATAAAAATAGTTAAAAAAATTATTTGAACCATTTAAAAAATCTTAGCTTATGTAAGTTGGGGACTGAAATAAATATATATATATATTAATAATGGAATATCCTATTCAAATTATTTAACCCTAATTAGTTCATAAACTACAAAATTGAGCAATTTTTGGAAATATTTTGTATAGGTAGGTGGTTTTAATGATAAAATGGATTATAAAGTTTTATTGTCAAAATAATTGAAGGTAATTTTCAAAACAAGTAGGTATTTATTTAGAATTCTCAGTACATTAATGTTTAAAACTTCGAAATATGAACCAATTAATTTACAAGTGAACACGAAGAATCTCTAATTGATATATTTCGTTTATGAATAATAAATCTTTACGTATTATTTATATATTTTGATAATATATTTTGGGTGATAACAACAAAATGATAACGTAGTGTTTAAATTGACTGCGAATAGACCGACCCATCTTAATTCGTCTCTGCAACCTAAGGTTTATACTTAATTGATTATCTATTAACTACAAATCTATAATCTATAACACTTATACAGCGATATTTAACTTACCGATATCAAAAAATCGATACATCGATCCAAATCCCAAGTGAGGGTTATTTTGAAGAAACAATGATAGCGGTGCTTCGTACCTACACTCTCATTGTGTGTTGTTAGGTCTGTGTAGTTATGTAAATTTCATTATTTTTTTCATTACTTGCATTTGACAGCGTTGCTGAAACCAACTTTCTCAGTTGTACGTGATTAACACTCTTATCTCCATCGTCATCATGTCTTACCAGTCAGCGGTCAAAGCGGTGAAGTCTGTAATCGATGGCAAGTCAGGCAAAGCAGAGCCTGTTGTCCAATCGATAGTACCGAAGAGTTTTCATTGGAACAAAAGAACTGAAGCGAGTTTGTTGTTCAACATGATTGGGTTGAAACCTTGTGGTAAGCCATCATTCCTGTTTTAATCATATAATTTCTTTTGTTCATTCTTTTAAATTATGTTTGTCTAATAAAATATCAAATATAGGCCTTTTTCAATCAATATTTTTATTTATTAAATAAATCATTCATCATTGGATGTTGTTAGTAGATGGAGAATAACTGGTTTATAAATGCAAAAGTACAGTTAAAGTATTTTAGGTCCTAAAACAAACAACAATATAATTAGTTATTTTGGTATAAAAAAGTTTACTGTCTTTTATTAATTGTATATATTGCAAGTAATTTAGCCATTTTTCCTATCTACCAAAAACAGTAATTTTATTGAAATCAAAAGACTTTTGATTAAATCCTACATTTTAGATTGATTATATTTGTTACAATTAAAGTGTTGAATTCAGTTATTTTATGAAATAACTAGATATTTCATGAATTGCTTTTGAATGTTACAGTGTTAAATAATACGTAAAAATTAACAGTTAACTAGTTAATTCATAGAATACCTAGTTATTCTATACAATTTTAGCTTGATTTCTGTTAAAATATAGAATTCATCTAAATTTAAAACCCGATTTAAAATGTAATTATAACAATATTTTATGTACATTTAATATTTTAATTGTTGAACTGTAAAAGTTTTTACTAAAATTTCTAATAAAAAAAAAAAAGAAAAAAAAACAATATTTTATTTATTTTAAGCTGAATTAATTATAGTTGCATTTTTTATTTGTACTTACTAGGCTATTATGGAATTTAGAGTTACACAATAACTTTTTTTTTCAAATATTACATTGAATAATATTTTATAACTTACTTATTTCGTACAACATGAAATATCTACCTTCGTGTCCAATAAAAATATGAATTTCATGTAAATAATCAAAAATGTCTTCAATTATAACCAGGGCTTGAAACCAATTAAAAACATTTCGGTTTTGGTTTGCATTTTGTATATCAGTTTTAAGAAATTATGATTTTGATTCCGTATACTGGTTTTTTATATTTTACGATTAAGTGTTCAGTTTTTAATACAGTCTTGATTTATAATGTTTTTGATATCGATTTTGAAATTGATTGCAAGCACTGATTATAACATTTAACTTAACATTTTCATTTTCATTATTTACAGGAAGTGTTAATTTTTCACTGACGTTTATTTATACAATATCGTAATTTTTTTTCAAACTATTAAATATATCATTTTTATGTTTAAGTTTTAATTATTTTATAAACAAACTGAATCAAAACTTTAATTTTAATATATACAATAGTAGAAATAATAGGCATAAGTTTTTGCAAAAATAATATTATGAAACTATACAGATTTTATAATAAATTACAATACCTGTTTTATTGTTCTATTACATGCTTAGTAAAATTATATATATTTTTTTAAAACATAAAAGCAATTGTTAAACAAACATTAATATTTTTTCTCGTAATAAAAAAATAAAATAGATTTTATAATGAATTATTATTAAATTAATATTAGGTGTTTACTAATTTAATGTTACAAAAACAACAAATTTTGTTTCGATGTTTATTTTATTTTTTTTTTTAATACATATAATACCTTAATTTATATAAAGAACTATGTATAAATTTTATGTTTAGTATTGGTTTTATCAATTTATACTAATTTGATTTAACTTCTTTGTTATACACAAACGCATATCACATAATGTATTTAATAGTTCAATTGAATTTTACCTGTTCTGTAATATGTTTATTGTCATTATTGAACCGTAAAAATTAAATTTTGTTTTATTTACTATTTTATTTGTTGAGGATATTTATAAAGGACTTTTAAGATGCATTTTGCAGCATAATGTTTTATCTTATGTTAAAATATTTCTCATTGATATAAGTATAATTAAAAAATATGATTTTGCTATTAAATTAATAATAAATTGAATCTTTTTTTAACAGGAATGAATAAACATTTGAATGTACTTCTGATTAGAGAAAGAATGGTTGAAGAACTAAATTGTTATGTATCAACTCTTTACATATGGCAATATTTAAATATCAAATGGGATATTGAAGTTGCTGTAAATAATTAACATTTATTAAAATATTTTATAATTAGATTCTATATCTATGTACTTTTTTTGACTGTCATAGAGTAATCATTTTTAAAATTTCAGGACAAATTTGAAGATATATGTTCTGCAGCTACTAGGATAGTTAATTTTAATTTACCAGCAGCATATGGACCCTTAATACTTAATGAAATTCATGAGATGAATAGAAAAAGGCTATATAAAGATAGTAAGTTATTAAAACTATTTATTTTTATTTTCTATAATTTTTATTGTTTTAATATTTTTTTAGGATTTGATGAAATTAATAGGGGGAAAGAATTAGTTAGTATTAAAAGAAGGAAGTCTAATTCTATGTCCTCAGTTGAAATAAGTGAAGTTGGATCTGATGAACCACCTGCTAGAACTCGAAGATCATTGCGAGCCTATGACAAACTTTATGATAAAGATCTTGAAGATGATTCATCAAACAAAAAAAAAATGTTACGTGTAAATAATAAATCTTGTGAGCTTAACAAGACCAAAGATTATAAGCTGTGTAATAAAAAGTCATCAAATCGATCTAAGGAACTAGAGAAAAATGATAAAGTTTCAAATATAAGTATCCGAAAAAGAAAAAGTCGTAATGTGTCCGAGTCTAGTATTAGCTCTGATAATAGCAAGCCGCATACGAGTTATAAAAATAATTTAATGGACTTAACTATTTCAGATAGCTCTTCTAGGTCAATAACTCCAGAGCTTCTGAGAGGTAAAACATCAAATCGATCCATTACACCAGAATCAATCAGTAGAAAATCAAACTTACGCTCTGGTGATAAAGACTTAAAGTCTAAACTTGCCCTAGAAAAAGCTTGTATAAAATTTGATCATCATGTTGAAATTATTTTACCAGAAATTAAAATTGAACGATTGAAGTCTGAAAAACAAATAGCTGCTTTCATGGAATCAAAGTCAAAACAACCAGTACAGAATAAAAGTGAAGCAAATAATAAAGTTAAAGGCAAAACACGTGGAAGAGTGACATCTGATTTTTTGGTTGTTCAACAATCTCCTGATGTACCTTTAGGTAGGCGGTCTTGTAGCAACAAAAGTTCATAATAATGTACTACTACAAAGAATTAAGAAATCATATTAAGCTCATAAATTAAAATTTATTTACAAAATTTAATATATATGTAACTATACATTTGGTCATTTTATTTTAACACAGTTGCCCTTTTTTTATTTATAGCATTACACTCAGTTATTTAATGATGTAAATTGTTTGTTAATAATTCTCAGTATCTTTTACAAATTATATTTGTCAATTCTTTTAAAACCTAAAAATATTTTTAACAATTTATTACTTACTCTGCATCAAGTTTCATACTTCTAATAAAAATATTGATAAATCAGTTTGTGTTAATATTTTTAATTTAACTAGTTTATTTGGTCCTACAAATATTCTCAACTTGTTATCTATATTAGTGACTTGTGCTTTCTTTAAGTCATTAAAATCTCACTGTACCATCTGAAAAAAATTATTTTCAAACATTTTTTATGTTAGTTTTGACCATTATTAAACCCACTCAAGTATTTTAACAATATTATTACTATTATTAATATTATTTATACTTCCACAGGCTGGGTTTATTTTTACTAAGATTTATACAATTTATATTAAAATTTTGTTTACAAACATGAATATTAAACAAAGATAAGTAGTTAACAATAACAAACAATAATGTAATACTTGTGAAAAGGCTAATCAAAAATTCAACTTATAACTATAATTTATCGTAAAGATATTAAAATTAGTTAACTACAGCAAAATATAATAAATATTATAAAATAAAATATTATTATGGAACTGCAGTAGGAGTAAATGTTATCCATTAGTTGTATTTTTTAATGGTACATAATGCATCACAAATAACATAATTTTAAACAGATATTTTTTAATCATTATTGAATTTATAACTGTAATTTCATTATAAAATAATATAGTTACCAAATAAATAATTCACTAAAATAAACGTAGCAGTCAATGTGTTTAAATATTTTATATAATAAAATATTTACTTTTTTTATTTAGTAAATCATAATTACATCTTGAAAATAAAATTAAGAAATTATCAAAAAAAAAAAAAATGTAATATATAAAATATACACACAAGACAACATTTATTTTAAATATACTAATGTAGAACTAAATACAACAGTTAAGGTTTAATGTACCAAATTTTTTTCTATTAAATTAATACTACTTTTAGATTGCAATTCTCTCATTATATAAGGTATCTTTTCATAATCAATAAGTCCATTCCAGACATCCATGGATATAGGTAATACTACTATACCCAAAGCTTCAATTGTTTTGTTTGTCAATATATAAGGTCCTCTTAAACAATTTAAATTGATAACATAATTATTTGGTTTGTAAATAAATATGCCAATTCTAAAAATAAAACAAAATATTATACATCATTCTTTGACAGAATTATTAACAAGTGAATGAATTTACTTACACTAAATTATCATTAAACTCAATGTTTTCCAAAAATACATTTGATTTGTCAGTTTTTATTTCCTTTTTAATAGCAACAGAATATCCACCAGGTCTCATTACCACTAAATGATCTGAAATCAAATGTATTGAATCACAGTAAAAAACTACTGTTAAAAAATATATTTAATATTTTAAAATTTTACGAACCAATAAAATGTCCTAACTTGCTTTTTACGCCTGTAAGCACATAATCCTCTCCACCCAAACCGTGCTCTAAGGCAGCTTTTAGTGGAAAGTTGTCTAAATTCTGCTGATTCAAATTAATAGCTTTTTCTAAAATATCTGTTGGTGGCAAATTTCCTTTGTAACCTCCAGGGTATAGAGTCACAGTAGCCTGGTACAGTTTAAGCAACATAATGTAATCAAGTACATTATCACCTATAGAAAGATACAAAAAATTATTAAAAGTGAAATAGAATTATAATAACTTAAAGAAAAACATAATTTTTAATTCATAGATAATATTTTCAGAAGGTGAATAAAACCAAGGTTAAGTATTTAAAAAAAATGCATCATTACTCCGTTTAAGAAATCCATACAGAAAGTTTCTTGAAAAAACTCTTTCTAATAGTTCTTCTGACCAACAATCCAAAACAGCTAAATCAAACGCCACTAATAGCCATGGTAATTCTATAACATCCTATTAGTAAATAAATATAAGAATATAAAAAATATATATTATAAAATTAAATTAACTAAATTTTTATTTATTAACAATTACCTTTTGAATGTTAAGTCTTTCTAAAATATAAGGTTTTAATTCAATGAAACCATGTGGAATATGATTTGCATTGGCACACCCTGCAATATATGATAGTAAATTACTAAATCTACTTCGCTTCAAAATTGAATGATCATTGATTAGTTGAGCAGTCATGTAATCAAGTAATTCACGATTAACATATCCCTAAAATTAAAAAAAATGTATTAATTCAACTATAAATCATACATTTATATGACTTACAATTTTATTCAATTTCTTTATTACAAATCCTATTTCTTCAAATTTCATTTTTTTTTTCATTAGGTATGCAATGATTTTATTTATAAATTGTTCATTATAAAATTCTTTAGAATCATATAAATATTTATTTATCATTCTAGTCAAAAGAGCTTCAATATCTGAAATATTACCTACTAATTCTATATGATCTAAATAAATGTCTAAACATTTATTAACTACATTAATATATTTCTCGGTTGAATAATCTTTGTAGTACAAACATAATAATAAAGTTTTGATCATTTTATAATTGAGTAAATCAATATTTCTTATAATTTTTGACATAACAAAGTCATACGTTTCTTGAGATAATCTTTGTTTAGTTATATAGTTTAGGAATTCTATTTGCCAATACACATTGTCTTCTAGTTTATATTTTACTTGTGTCTCAAAAACTATTGGCAATGCAAGTTTTAAAGCATCAACCAAAGGACAAGATGATAAATCTTTTAGTAAAAAATGAAGAAAAGTAATTTGATGTAATGACATATCATTTATCATTTTACTTATTAACTGTAACATAATTTGCATTATGTTACTGTTCACTGATACACCCAAATATGATAAACATTTCACACAATTAATGACGTCTTTTAGTTCAAGATTTCTTGAACGACTTTGAAGTTTATGACACAATGCTGTAAATTCTGGACTTCGTATTAGTTCTTCTTTTGATAGTTCATTACTGAAAAATAATAGTTATTACTGGAATAAGGGAAGTATTTTAATTAAAAAATTGAGTTGTAAACATTTACATTTGATTAAAGTTTAAATTTTAATAAAAAACAAAATAGTTATATAAATACAGAAATAAAATTATAACAAAAAAACTAAAATTTGAAAGTTTTAACCTTAGTGTATATGGTATGGTTAATATTGTAGTATCATTTAAATTAATTTAAGTACAACCAAACAAGATAAAAAAATATTTAAATTGTTTTTAAACAGTGTAAAAAATTATATTTTTGGATTTATAGTAAATATTTGTACAGTAGGGTCACATTAATCTGAAAAACATAGTAATCCAAAAAGGTCTTGAGAAATATTACATCGCGATTTAATTATATGTATGTTTAAAAAAAAAACTCAATTTTTGAAATTAATATGTAACTGTTTAATTATATATATATATATACATAATAATAATAATTGTATGGTATTTGTTAAATTTTTTAATTATGTATTGATAAAATAAATTCCAAAATTTAAATTGCAAAAAAATTGATTTTTTTTTTTTCAAGTCATAGGTAATCATATAGCCCTTGGATAGACCCCTTTCCCCAATATCGTTTTGATTATTGCAACCCTGTTGTAGTTACCATGGAATACAAATATGTTTTAATTAAATTTAATAATATTTTAATAATCACCTTTTATTTTTGTGTAAGGTAAATAAAGAAAGTAATGCTTGCAAATGTTGTGGTGTAGTCATCACAGAGTTATGAAGCCGTAACATTTCCAATATATCACTTGTTTTATTTGCATTCATAATACTTGTTAATAAAACATCATTAGTAGCAAGAATATTAGAATAACCACTTTGACCAATGCTTGATGCATGTCGTATTGTTTTAAGATCTGTGATATGATAAAAATTATAATCAAATATATTATGAATAATGAATAATAAATTATAATACATGATTGAAAATAAATTGAAGTTGAAATCCTTGTTGAAAATGCATGTCTTTGTACTACATTATGCTGTATATGTAAATTTCTTGATAATAAATAAATTTTTTTCAGGTACTGAATATATTTGCTAACTTTATTCATAATGTTTTTGTCTTCTAAAAATAATATAAAAATTAATATGTTTACAATTACACTAGATACACAAATAAATAAATTACCAATTACATAAATTGACTTCTAAAATTCCTCTAAACAAAAATTATTTTCTTTAGAAATATTTAAATTAATTTTTTTGACTTGTTATATTTTTAATATTACAACTGAAATAACAGAACTTTTAGAAAATTATAAATTTAATATAATACAGGGAAATGTTAATTATTTATTAATATAAATACAAATAATAAAATAATAATAAATAATATAATTAATTAATAACTGTTTGTTAATGTAATCCATCAATTTTAGGCTATTTATTAAATATCTTAGAGTTTCTGTAACTTATAACCAAAATCTAACTACATTAATGATTACCAGGGCTAAGATTTGTATGCAATAACAAATTATAAAATATGCATTTTATTTACCAAATATGCAAAAATATACATTTAAATTTTTATAAGATAAATACAAAAATAATGTTACAAAAAAAATATTTATTTATTGAAATGCATCAGTGGTTGGCTGTTTATGTTATTATAATTAAGAAATAAAATAAAATAAAATAATTTAAAATAAAATTTATGTTTGACAAGAAAACCAAGTTTCATACTAATCAGCGGGGTTAAAATTAAATACGGAATATTAATTAATTATAAATATTAATTACAAAATATACTATAAAACATTGATTTTTCGCATTTTTATAATCAAAATATGCAATAATATTCATTTTATTCAATATATGCAATAATATGCATTTTATCCAAAATATGCAAAAATATGCAAAATAAAAATACCACCATTTATCTCATCATGAGGTAATTCGTGGACATTACTGACAAAATCAATTATCAGTAGTCGCAAAAAAAACATGCTGTTGCATACAAATCCTAGCCCTGAAGATTACTTTATGTTATAATTAGGCCCGGCTTAAGTGTTTAATAAACAAAGGCAAAATTTAGTTTTTGCCGCTCCTTACGTGTAAATATTTTATCAAATATTTTTTTTTTATACATAAAAATTGTCCAGGAAAAATACAGCCCTAGGCATGGGTCTATATCGCCTATCTCTTGATTAAAATATATAATATAAATGTATATTATAAATTGGTTATAATATTGTATAATAGAATATAGTTAGAATGTTATGCATAATAGAAAAAAATGTTTTGGTCCAATTCCATGAAAGTACAAATAATTTGGAAATTGTCACAATACAAATAATAGAATGGTATAATGGCATATTTCCTATTTTATTGTTTTAAAGTTTTTCATTTGATAGTTGAACATTTGGGTATATCATTTTATATCTTCTTTTTAGTATATATTATAATATACTAATATAAGCCTCATTAGACATTTAAAATAAATTATTAACAATTATACATGCTATTACTTATATTGGACTCAAATCATAATTAATATTATGAACAGGCGAGTGAATTAATCTATAAATGTATACAAAAAAAAATATCCTTCAACAAACCATAAAGTAAATATGGTGCAGATGATCAAAACGTTGATGCCTTTATCAATATAATTACAGACATGATTAAACGTGTAAATATATAGGAATGAGAATCAATTAATTTGTTAAAGATATCGTTTTAATTAACTCATAAAACATTATTTAAAACTAAACGGTTGTTTATTTAAAAAAATGTTTAGTATTAAATTTTAAATTAATGTAGATTTTCCAATGAAACATTTGAACATAGCCTTAAATGTATGATAAAATGTTATCATATAATCACACACAATCATGATCATATTTTTTTAATTCGTGGTTGGAGCACAAAATCCAAAACGGGTATTCGGCAGATGTACTAACATCAGTTACAACCCCTGTAAAATCTGTATAGGGTTTTGTACTTAGCTAAAGTTGTCTTATTCTTATATATAGGCTTAGGGAGTTCTAGCATTTGCATACTTTTTTTAATTATTGTTAAATATAGCAGAGTGCGAAATAAATTCGTATCTCGGTGCCACGATATCAGATCTAAAATTTGAATGTGCATATTTTTGCATTTTTGATAGATTTTGCAGGAAAATGCATATTTTAAAATTTTTATGCTTATTTTGCATATTTTGACAAATTTTTCAAATTTAAAATTAAAAACTATAGATACATATTTCAACCTGTCGAAAAAAAATATATTAAGAGGACTTAATACTTCCAGTAATATGCTATCTGCAAACTACCTCTCATATCTCGTTATAATTTTCATGTAAGTATAAATAATTCTATAAGCCTGTATCGACCGTTCAATTCGTTAGATATCGACCGGATGTCGATAAAGATAATAGTTGATATAAAATAATAGATTATTTGTTTAGTGTCCAGTTCAGTTGATTATTATCCAGGGTCGTAGCTAGGGGGTGGCGAGAGGTATCTACGCCCCGGGCGCAATTCATGAGAGAACGCAAAAATAGAAATCTTGCGTTTAATATTAAAAATTACAATGTTCAATGTCGTATATTTTGTTTACAAAATCTTTAACAGCCTTCATATTATAATCAAAGCAATCATCGAAAATAATATCTAATAAGCGTAATATTTTCAAATTGAAAATACATAAGGGCGCATTTTGAAGTTTTGCCCCGGGCGCAATGTTTGGTTGCTACGGCATTGTTATTATTCATCGTTGTTTTTGCGTCCTCGCAACCACACAACGTCGAATCATACGTAAAATTATATTTATATTTTATAACATTGTGTAATGCCGAAAGTACAACAGTCTACGAGTAGCCGACTACAAAGTTTTGTTTTGGAGTTTAAAGATACATTTACATCCGATGAACAGGTTTTATTTTGTGAACTATGTGGTCATTTTATTTTTTATTTTTTTAATGCATATAAATGCATATTATAATGCATATTTTAATGATTTTAGAAGCATAAATTTTAAATAAATAAATAAAAAAAATAAATTAATTAATTTTAAATGCATGCATATTTGTGTATTTTTTAGAGCTATAAGTCCCTAAGCCTACTAATATATTATCATTATAATATTACTTATTCTGTAATTGTTACTAGTATTAAATTTTATAAATATAGTTTTGAAGTCGTTAGTTACCTACAACCTAAATAAGTATGAATAATTTCAAACAATTGTTATGTACCTACCCATTGATAATTTAGCCATGAAAGAAATTATAAATTTATAGGTACACCTATATTATGTTCAGTGGCGTATTTATGGGGGGGGAGCGAGGGGGCCCGGGCCCCCTCCGAAATGAAAAACACCATTGTTAAAGATTGTTATTTTTAACATGGATATGTCTTAATGCTGGGGGTTTCCGAAAATTTTTCGCGACACTGAGAATGTTGCTTATGCGATAATTTAAAATTTTATATTTATAAAATATGTTTATTCTTTTAAGAAAATATGTGGTGAATGTTGAGTGACTCTAATAAAAAATTTGTTTATTACAATGTAGTTTTTATACTTTTAAAAAATAATAAATCATTAAAAAAATTGAATTTCTTATTTTTCCGTAGGTGTAAAAACTGTCGAAAAGTCTTATAGTGCTAAAGTAATTTTTTTCGTAATAGTGTGCTTCCTCCTTCCTTTCCACCCAAAAATCAAATACATAATCGGCCCCTTCCGAAATGTAAACCTATATACGCAACTGATTATGTTAATGTTCATCTTTATTCCTTAGCTTAAAACGGCCTAATGATTGTAAGTAAATATAAATATAAAATATAGATGTTTATAATAAAAACTAGAGAGTAAAGATATCAAGACTTTTTAATAAAACCATCATAATGTAATCTCTAAAAGCCTAAAATATTTACATATATATTTACAGTTATATGTGCTATATATATATATATATATTTTGTTTGCATTACTCTTTTATCGTATAGTTAAACATTGATTAAGTGAAAATTAGTGATCGCATAATTCCCAAGATAAATTTATATTATAAAATTATAGATAAATCTCTTTTTTATTTCCTACGTTTCTGTCCTTTTCCCCGTACATTATAATTTATAGTAAAAGTTATTTAAAATAATTTTCTATTGTATTTTTATAAGCTTCCATTGTAAATATTAAACATGAATTAGGTTATTAATAAAATTTTTAAAAACAAACATGGGCCTGAAAGTATTTTCTTTACATGAAAAAAAACTAATTACAAAACATATATATGTATTAAGGTAGTAAATTCACCATAGTCACTGTTCAGCATTAAGCTATAAAGTATGAAACAAATATTACAATCTACTATCACCTACTATAACACTATCGTATGATTTATAAGTAATTTTTAAAGTCATGCTTTTACTATAATTTTTTTACATCGACATTTATATCAACTACAACTGCTACATAAGAAATCAATTTATGGTTCTTAGTAATTTCTTTAAAAAAATCTATAGTTAAATCATATTCAACCATTTAAAATTAAAGAGAAATTATAGAAAATGTTAAAATAAAAAATTAGATGGATTGATGTCAATATTGAATTTATTATTTAAGGTTTTAGATTAAATTTGAATATTACACCAAATGTCCAAACATAAATAATTACTCAGATATAAAAACAAATTTAAAATAATTGAACCACGTGATATTTTAGATGAAATATTTCTACATTTTACTATCATTGTATTATATATAAATGCATTACGAAGTAATATTGAATAAAGCTGTGTGAAATAAGAATATATCCAAAAAAAATTTGTTTTCGAATAATATAAAACTACTATTATAACATCATGTTGGTGTATTAGATTTTGAATCGTTTTCAAATAATAGGTAATAAATGTAATTTCTGCTAAAGAAATAATTTCGGTGTATTGTTACGTTTAGTTTTTACGCATTTCCGCCATTTTTTTTACCTTACTGAATTTTTTTAATTTAATTTTTTTTATTACTACTTGTTACATGATGCACTAAATTCTGCTGAACCGGAACATTTAAGCCCCACTCGTCTATCAGTTCCGGAAACATTGCCAATTATACGGAATGAAAGTGTTTCGTCTTAATTAAATCAGCCGCATAATTTTGGTGGGAAAAAGCAGGATCTCTGAAAGAAAACCGGTAACTTCCACTAATGCACAAACGTTGAAGTGATGGTGGTGTGTTGATTAAATGTTTAACTGACCGCAATCACAACGTTTTAAATCTTACATATAATTCATATATAGAACTATTTGCATATGCATTTACAGTGATACAATTTTTCTTTATTTACTAATCATAATCAAATGTCGGTCGATTTTTGTATAAGTGTAACCTACAACTATATTTATAATCAATAATAGATATACTAAAATTCGTACTTCAAAAAATGGCAAACAATAGAAAATTAATAAAACTGTTATTGGTTGTCAATATCGTATATATCTGTGTTGGTTTTACATCCACGAGGTCTCCTGGAGTACATCAAAGTAAGAATATATAAATATATTGTTAATCAACTACCATAGTATCTATAGTAAGAATAATTTACATCGAAGAAAAATGATCACCATGACGGGTAATTGTGTATTTATTACCTTACAATACCTATACACTTATTATTATATTATTTTTGAAATTATTTTATACATTATGTTTGTTGTTAAATAAAATAAGAAACAATTAAAAATTATATTTGTTAGTTTATAATTATCAAATGTTAACAGTTTATCAAATTAATGAAATATAATATAAGAAAATTGAATTGAACCAAATATATATTATTTATCATAATTATATCTAACCATATTATAAAAATAAATAATTCGAACTTCTTAAATAATATTATAAATTAAAAATTACGAAGTATATTTAAAACAACTAATAATATTGAAAAAATAAATAAATTGGAAATATATACCTACTAGTGAATGTTTACAATAATATTAATAGAAAACCTTAAAATATTATTTAAATGTTTAAGTATATGTGTTAACTTACAGAATACAAATTGTTTTTTAGAAATATATTATTATTATTTATTTTTTTAGTAAAAAAGATAGTACAATACGAGTACATATTCCTAATACAATAAACTGAGCAGAAAGAAGAGATGATTTTAACAAAAAATATTTTTTATTTTAAAATTAATATAAACATTAAATTATTTAGAAATTTGTTTGATTTACTATGTTTAAAACATTTATAATAATAAACGCTTCAAGGTGAAAGTTTAACACACGATTATTTTGAAATGATTAATCTTATCGTTATTTCTTAGGGTCATATTTTGAATAAATTAAATAATCGAAATTCTGCAAGCTTTCTTAAACCTACTTACTAAGCTAAGCCTAAAAAGCCTATTTGACCTTAATATAAGATTTTAAAATTGTATTACATACATTAAATACATTTAAATCATAACTTATCTTAAACTAATTTAATAAATTAATTATGAATTATAATAATTGTACTTTCATTAAACATGTTACATTATTATTATAATACATTTTTATTTTCAATTGGTATTTAAGTTAATATTTATATTCATCAATAATGAATTAAATTAATAAATATTCCTAATCTTTAAACATTTTTAAAATGTAAATAATATCACGATACTTGAAATGTATAATATAATCTTAAAACAATAAATATATCACAAATTATCAGTTATGTAGGAACATTGTTAAAAATTGATTATGAGAGTATGCATGTATTATTGAAATTAAAAATATTTGAAACAGTATGAGTAAACTACGATGAATTATATACAGAAATTAACTACATTAAAGGATTAATAGATTGCTTTATAGTTATTCACTTATTTATCGAATGTCATTTGATATACTTATCAGAGCACGTTATACTATCTGAAATGAATGTACTAAAAAAAAATATATATATATACATATATGTAAGTAAAATACGAATATATATGTATAAAAATACTATCCTATGATATATGAAGTATATTTTAATAAACGTTTTTATAAAAAGAAAGCTGCAACTAGTGAACTGTGAGTTTATTGTGACAGTTTTTTTAATAGACGAAATCAGGTCGTGACGGATAAATAAATTAAAGAATAATTACATAAAATCTTAGTTAAATGTATAAATAATGTACCGTGAATTAAATTATATGGTGGATATTGTTTAGTATATTTGTGCTAAAACACCAATTAAAAATAAGTTACTGTTTAGAAGTCAAATCATAAATAAAACAATTGACATAGGTTTAACGTAAATTATTAATACACTTAAAATTATTTTGGTCAATCGGTTTTATGGTACGGTACCTTGTTAATATATAATGTAAAAATAAGTTTTAAAGACTTGCAGACTTATAATACTATTTATAATTAATATAAATGTCTGATATTTAAATTAGATATAAAGGACATATGATAACTTAAGGAACAAGATATTATAAGGCGCTACGTATTATACAATTTAGTATTCATTCATGCATATGTTTATAAATACGTGATATATTAAAGGAATACAATAATTTAATTATTTTGATTGAAGTAATATAATACATCAAAAGTAAATTTGAAGATGGTAGTGTCAATGATACTTATTTTAACAGAGAAGTATTTAATTATATAGGTTTTCATTACTTTTCATTATTTTAATTAATATTATAGTATTATATATGAATATGTGCGTGTAACATAAATATTCACTAAAAGGAAATTATTATAAGTCATTACATAATTTACAATTCATTTTACAGTCATGTATACGTTATTGGCAAAGTATTGTACTTAGGAAATAAATACAATTTATAATAGCGACGGAAATGATTTTGATATTGATTAATTTAGAACTTAGAAGTAACAATATTTATATTTAAATATTTAAACTTCAACACTTTGTTGTTTGTGTTAAATTTAATTATGAGTTATTAATTTCTTATAACTATAAGAACTAAGTGATATATTAATAATAACAATATATTATAAATAAATGTAATTAATTCATAAATTAACATTGAATAACATCGTATTTCAATTTGTGTTCTATTACTATTATGACTTATTTACATGACCATATATACTTATTACATGACCAGAAATAAGGACATGTTGAATGGCATAATACTTTGCTTTTAACGTTGATTTTTTTTAATTTCTTATATGACCTCAACAAAATGTATCAAATTATATGTGAATGCAGTAGTTTTTAAATAACAAATATCAATATTTTATTAGAAAATACACTACATCAAAAACCTTTTTTTTATTATAAGAATTTTTTATTATTATATTTTATTATTTATTTATGATAAGTAAATTTTAATTGTATAAATAAAGCGCGAGCCTCAAATTGACCACCCTTGGATTATAATTATAATTATATTACATTCAATAAAAGTCATGCAATAATTTTGTATACATATTTTGAGCATGATAATATTCTGTTTGGTTGTATAAATTAAACAATTATAGCTATATTATGATTTATATTATGTTTATAATATAATTCTTATTATTAATTATACAAACATTTTTGTAGATTAGAAATATTTAATTTACTTTAAATATGTCTATGGAGGTTGAATAAACAACTATTTTTTTATTATTATTTTAAAGTTTTCCTGAAATTAAATGATTTATACTAGGTATGTAGATTTAAATTTTTAACATTTGTGTATCATATATCATTGATCAACTAATAAAGGTACTAGGTTTAAATTGGCAATATTAAATTTATAAATTTAAAAAAAAAATGTAATTTAATTAAATTTTAACAAATTTTCACATTACACAATACGCAGTATTTACAAAATAAATTATTCTACCATTATGAATAAAGTTAGGTAATTTAAAATGTCGTGGGGACGACCGTGTTGGAGTTTGTGTATGTTGAATGGGCATTTAGCCCGAAATGTTGTGAGCCGTTTGCTTTGTGTAGATGATAGAAGAAGTTTTCCAATAAGTCCTTGATATAGTTTTTAATTGTTGGAATTTTGAATATTTAATATTTCTGTATACAGTGCATCATTTTTAACATCATTTATGAAGATTTTAAGTTTATACGTAAAATTTTGAATTGTATGACTTGTATTTTATTTATGAGAATTGTAGCACATTTACCCTAGACTGGGATAGCATATAAAAATAGATGACGTATAATTTGTTTAAATAAAAGTAGTGAACACTTTTAGCTCAATGAAATTTGACAATTTATTTGTGGTTATAATATTTTTAAACGTTATTGTCTTTGATGTAATTTGGAGAATATGTGAGGATTCCACATGAGTTTTTTATCAAGTATTACTCCAAGCTTTTTGATATTATGTGAATATGCTAAATATTATCCATTGAGCTTTAGAGTATTATTGTTTTTTGGCTTGCGTAAAATGAAAAGAAGTGCTTTTCGATGGGTTGAGAATAATTTTCTAACTTTGTACCTATTTTTGGATTCCATCGAGATTTGATAGAATGTTTACTGTTACGTTTTCAAATAAAAAACTAGTGCGATATACCTCAATAATTTAATTAAGTTTATTTTTATATCATGTTTTTATATTTCGATGTGTATAAATTATCTAATTGAGTAAATGCTGCAACTTTCGAGGTAAAAAAATGTCTAGTTAATTATTTAAGTGAGATAAATAAACTACTTACATGGTTTATTTTACTAATAATTATGTAAATAATAAATATAATTATCTTATTTTGTGATATTCAGTGTACGATTACTTATCTTGTTCAATTATAGTTTATGTTTTTAATAAGTTTCGACGAAATTGAAATAGTTATTAAATAACATTTCAAGATTTAGTTAGGCATACCTAATTTATATTTAAGTATTAATATATTAAAAATAACTTTTAAAATTATATTCATCAATAAGATATTTATAATTTAATAATGTATTCGAGTTATTAATGCAGAATAAGTATACAAAAAAGTTAAACTAACATTATGGTTTTAATATTTTTAAATATATTTTTTACTATTTTTAATCGAATGTATTAAAACATGTATGTTACTGATAGCTAAAAAACCGGTAAATAAAGTAGAAGAAGTTCAATCAGTTGAAGCTGCAGAAGTTCCGGAAGTACCAGAAGTTGGGGAAAATAACGACGAAGTAAATGACGCACCGGATAGTGGAAGATTAAACATGAAAAGACGACCTAATGGCTGTCCATATTGTGATTCTAGTGTGTACAGCTACTGCTCTGATAAATTGCTACATGACGCATGCTGCTGTTTAGATCCACAAGGTAAGTTTACAAAAAAAAAAAAAAATTAAGATTTTAATGAAATACCTACTCTTTTCATGAAATACATTCTATGTGAGAATCAAGTGAAAGTTTAGAACACATATTCAATTCCAGCCAAATGGCATGTGAAAATTTTAAATTAATAGGTATTTTAACGTTATGTTTGCCGTCTAATCACATCTTTTCAAGGTTTTGAAATTATGTTAATTTATTTTTAGTAGTCGACATTTAAAATACCACAGTGACAGTTTATTTGAACATTTAATATATTAAAAATAAGTCGTTTGAAATGCTCAATATGTAATATAATAAATAATATTATTAATTTAATACTGTATTTAAATCTATGAACAATATTATTTGATTAATCCTTTTTGGTTTTGAAACAAAAATACAGTTATTGGGTATTGGTGAAAATAAATTTATAAAGTAATGATGTTTTTATAATTTGCTCATAGTAAATTTATTTTAATTTATATTATTAATTTTTCTTGTTGAAAACTATATGTTTAGGTAGGTTAAAGAGTTAATCACTAAGAATTTTTATCGGTTTAAATAGTTTTGATAATTCTTATAAATATATTACAAATTAATATTTTATATAAAATACCTTCTTATGTATTTGATATACAAATTTATCACAGTATATATGTACGAATAAATACATATATTTTATAATAATATTAAGTAGATTAGAAATTTAATTGTTTAATGTTGCATCGGATAAAATGCATTTAAAACACATACATTTCGAAAGAAAATAACCTTATCTGTATTTAATATTTTACACATATTTTTACGAGATTAAATAAAATCTACTTAGATTTTAAAATAAGAACATTCAGTACAAATAGTACAATGTACAGTTCAAAAATCATTTGAATTATTTAACTAAACTTTTTAAAGTTTTAAGTTAGCTATTTATTTATAATACAGGAAGGTTAAAAAATCTATTAATAAAAAATATTATCAAGGGACATGGATCGTTTTAATTGATTGCTTAAATGTCAACTCACTAAATATAGAATAGATATTTTATGAAGTGTAAGTAATACAAACTAATTATGCCGTTATTCTACTGCTGAATCGATACATTTTGAAAAAAGACATTTCATAATTTTAACATAATTATATACGTACATATATTTTCTGTAGGTACACTAATATAAATTTAGAATTTACATAATACATGCTTATAAAAAGGTGAAGTTAAATATTATTGGTATAGGTATGTTTATAAAACGTTGTGTAAGGTTTAAATAATATTACTCTACTGTATTCAAAAACTCATCTTCTTAATCTTAGTATCAATCTACAATGTAACATATTTACGACAAATATATTCAAATGTATACAATTTTTCAAAATAAATTGTATAGAAGGAATATTTATTTTAAAAGTAAAGTATTTTGATATTATAGTTATATCAAAACGCACAAATATGTGATCAACTTTAATCATTTTTCTTTTTTCAATTCTTACTGAGTATTCAGTTCAGTAAGTGAAGAGTATAATATTTGTTTTCGCAAATAATAATGTACATGAAAAATTGATGGTATTTTCTGAAATTTAAAATAAAATCAAGCATATATTACAAATGTATGACCAAATTTTTTGTAGATTTCTATCAAAACTGTCATGTTAATAACTCGTGGTAATGACCGTGCAACAAACATTAAATCGAAAAATCAACAGGAAATCGAAAAAGTGGAGTTATTTCGCAGTGGGTTTAGAGTAGCGAACGTTGAACGCTTGGGGATATTTCATTACGATGCAAAATCGAAATGTATTGGAACGACGATAGAGGAAAATGAGAAATGGAAAGGTGCAGTCCTACAATGGTTTATGTATACACATAATATATACGTGTGGGTGTGTGTAATCTCGTCCGACCTTGAAATGTTATCGTCGGGGTTTTCGTGTCTCGGTCGAAAATTTTTTTTTTTTCCACACGGGTTTTCGAGTGCGTGTACAATAGAACTCGAGTGCTCGCGCAACAATAACAATAATAATAATAATAGTATCAACGTTAGTATAAGCTCGTCGCGCCACCAAACATTATCGTACGTATCGTACGGAGTTGAGGCGTTCGCTCGACCGCAGACGACGTCGACGACGACGACGACGACGACGACAACAACACCCGTGAGGCACGACGCGCGACGGACATATTATTCGGGTGCGTGCACGCGCGCACACCCGTAGCATACGTGCACCGCGCGTCGAAGTTGCACCAGACAGTACACAGCCGCCTTCCGCGTCGTCGCCCCGCGGCGGTGTCGGTGTCGGCGGCGGCGAACAGAAGTTTTGGGTGCGAGCCGGGGTCAAGGTTACGAGAACACCGCCACTGCGCCACCCACCCTTGGCGGACACGTGTCGGCCCGGAATACCGTCGTAGGGTTCGAGCGTCCCGACGTCGGAGTTCGCGGTCGTTGTCGTCGCCGACGCACGTGTCTGTTACCGACGGCGGCGCGGCGTTCTCGTGGAGGAGACGGACGTCGGTTTTTACCAGGAAAAAAAATAATAATCGTAAAAAAAAAAAATATAAAAAAAATAACAACCCGTTCGTTTCCCCTACCCCCGTCACTACTGCCGTCTCATAGCTCCGTCCCCATTGATTCGTTTACAAATTGTATGCGTATACGTTATACATACGCATATATATAAATGTCAACTTGGTCGGTTATATTATTAGCGTTTTATAATTGTATAGCATCAATTAATATTATTTATAGCACCAACGCCAACGGGAACAATTGACCGGGCGAATAATTATTTTCTTGCGTTAAAATAAGAGCTCCGCGAGTTACCGCTCTTCACCGACGACCGTTTAATCATTTCTAATATTCGCTCCCATTACTGGGAACGCTGTTTATTGTTTTTTTACCGAGAACTCCGTCCACACGGTCACCAACGCATGTTACATTGCGAACGTGACTTTTTTTTTCTCTTCTCGTCATGCGTTCGACGGTTTTAACGGTTTTCGTCGACGAACCCGTTCGTTTATTTATTATTCTTTAATAGGCTGGGTTCACATGGAGTACGCGCGTACACGCGCGTTATACAACCGCGCTTACTTAGATATACATATTTCTTATAAATCGTTCGCATTGCACGCGTACACGCGCGTTGATCGCGATAAATACCCAAGATTCTTTACCGCACGTAGACACGCATGACGCCGCAATGTGAAATACTGTTACGCGCGTTTCACCGCAGTTAGTCGCTTTTCATGATATCATTTTATTATCAGCCAGGTTATCTTTTCGCACGTCCATGTGCAACGATCGTAAATGTTAAGCGCGCGTCGCGCGATAAACTGACGCGCGTGTACCTAGCCATATACATTTAGAACGCCGTATTTTACAATTGTAATATTGTACAATATTGTACAAAATACTTTTTACACTCCGAATCCCGCGTTTCTCAATCGAAAAATACCATACCGGACAAAGTTTATAAAATAATGCACAAATGTTGGTGGCAGTTGTGTAGTACGTACAGATTAGTATACTATACGCTACTAATTATTGCTTCTAAACCTATACTAGGACAATGATAAGTTCTCACATCGTCGTTTTTAAATATGAGTATTACGAAAAGGGGAAAACCTTATGGTTCGATTACAAATATATATTATCGATTTAGGCCTTCGGTCCATTCACGGTCGTAAAAACGCGTTAACAAAAAATTTCGTAGCAACTGCAGTAAAATATATGAAATACTGAAATGCATAACGTTATGGGTTGTATGCAACGTACTTTCGGTGTATATATATATGTGCCAGCGTGTGTGTATCACATATTCACACACATATGGCAGTGTATAGGTACACACGTGGTCACATTATGTATATAGGTCGAAAACCTTTTTACGTAAGTCATAAATATAATTCATCTGCGGCCGTACACCACATGGTAAATAAAAAATGTAGGTACCTCATCTTTCGGTGTGTTCGTTATGAAAAAAGTATACGTTTCAAGAACAACCGTTATCGATGTACCATGCACCGCTTATTCTTTGGAACGTCATTGCCAAATATAGCAGTATAGTTTTATAGCCGTATTGTTCTTGGTGAATAATACTTTAATATACGTATATACGCATACACAATACGAGTCTGCGGTGCACAACCCGTTTTCTTGCACCGTTTGTGCATTCAGTTATATGTACCTTACGGTTCCGCAACCACCACTAACTCGCTTGCGATGCACGTACGGTGGTCCGGGCGTATACCGAATGCACACTGTACAACGCTAATGGTATTCCGGTAGGTTACGTGCGCCGCCGCCTCCGCCTCCGCCTCCGCCTGTACACTGCACCGGACGATTATGTTTGGCGCTTCGTACGATATTATAGCGAAACGTGTACTAGAGTATAATAATAATAATAATAAAGAAGTGGTGCTACAGAAGAATACGTAGAAGATGAGTTGCACCGGAATCGGATCATTAACGAAGAAATGTTATAGAAAATAATTCGAAACAAAGATTGATAAACGGGAAAGCATTGAAAGGATGTAAAACGAATACACATGGCTGGGTTAAGACTTTTATTTCAATGGGTTATACGAGTATAGAAAGAAGCTACTATTATATTAGACACATAAAACAAATTATAAATCTGAATTACAATACATACTAAGAAAAGGAGAAAAAGGGGCCATAATACCGAAGTATGGAATATTTCCGGAAATCAATCTTTGGATTGAAAACTATGCAGCAGAAGAAGAAAAAAAAATGCGTCGTAGCCGCCGATCGTCTCACAGATAATAATATTATTATATAACATTTACACACATGCACTACACGCGCAGACATGTTATTTGAGCGTACGTGATTTTTCTTCGTCGCGAGTACTCGAACTTGCTAATCTGTCTGTGGTGGCGCAAGATAGAGAAGTGTCGATCGCAGAAGCCTTACACCGACACATTTTTATTATATTTTTTTATAACTCTGTTTAAAATCACTTGTACGATTAGTTCATAGTTTATGCGATATACGGGACAAATAAATCAGGTGCGACAGTCGTTTACCCTCGTATAATTGTACGCTGTTCGTAGTTATGTTATCTACCCATTGACGATAATCTTCGAAAAAAAGAAACAGTTTATCAAAACTATACTCATTCGGCTATAAGTTAAGTTGACGCGATAAATATACAATTAATCGTTGTTGTTGCACTGATCACATGAACCAAATTTTGATGTACCATAGTAGTAATAATTAATATATTTTTTATGGTATACCATATTAGAATAATGGAAATAGATGCTTTTGATATCCTGGTTTGAAATTATAATATAATAAAAAAACATTTATTTGCTAATGATACTTTTTAATAACTATTTGAAATTGTATAAATGCTAGTTAATGTTATACACGTAGTAAACCTGTCGAATAGGCTAACTTTTTTGAAAGACGAAAACCAAATTCAAATTATAATTTCGGTGAAATAGTGTCAAAAGGTATCTGAATGCTTACCAGTTTTTGTATCTGTATTATTTTTACATTAATTAGATATATTTTTCAAATATATCTCATACTAATAATTTTTTGAATTGTTGAGGTTTTATACTATAGACTTTGACGCTGATTGTTTCGATTTCATCTTCCAAGTTTGCGTATATATGGAGCATTTATTATTGAGAAAATCGTCTCTGTGTCTAATGTAAACAAAATGTGCTAATTTGACTATAAATAGGTCATTTTATTACATATAATATATGTATTGTGCACAGTGTGGTAGTCATTTGAAGGATAAGGTTTCTAACCGCCCTTCTCGATAAAATAAAAATTAGTTCATATGTACATTTGTTCATTATGTAGTATTAAAATTCGTTTTATTTAATTTTTATTCTACTTAAATTTACATATTTTAGTTCTGAAACGTAATAATAATAATAATAATTATACGATACACAGTCAAAATAGACCGATTTAAAGATGTACTATGTTATCGTTTTTGTTAATCGAAGAAAAATATTTTTAAGAATAGGCAATAGACTAAAAATAACAATATTGTTTCGCAGTGTTTATATTATTACATTACACTGCATGTATGTCGATAAAATCTGGTAAAATATTATACTGGAAGATACACAAATTATAGGATACAGTGGGAGAAAAACAAATAAACACAATATTCTATATACCTATCTACAGAAAAATCGTAATAAATTTAATATATACCATCATCACACATTCTTGCTCTGTCTACTGTAAAGAATATTTTGCTTGTTATTGTGTTTTCATTTTCAATATGGATAACAAAAGTAAATCAACAAGTATAATGTTACATTTTTTTTTTTTAAAAAAAAAGTATATAAGTATTTTTCTTCTACTAAATGGTCACGTGAGGTAAATTAATAGTAAATGAGTAACAAACAGAGGGATTACATTTTTAGTCAACAATTTTTTAATAAACTTTGAATACGCATTAGACACACAAATGCATCAATTTAGAATAGAAATAATTCAATTAACGGGGAAAATATTCTCTCGCAAAGGAAGTATTGTGATGGAAAGTAGATTTATTTTTCGAGTGTGTTTATGCGAAAACTAGATGAACACAGATTTATCAACAGATGAAATAATTAATTGATTTGCCAAAAATTCAAGGAAAATAAGATTAGTGTAATATTTATTGTAATTATTATTTTTACTATCATAGAAAATTCTGTTGCATTTATTCAATAAATCCCTTGATACATTTTTGGCTACATAACTGAGTGTGCACGTGTTCGTTGAATTTGTTGGTACGATAGTGGTAGGCACGTTAAGACATTTACTCTGAACAATACCTGAAGCAATGCGATTCAGTTCGAACTTTATTCGCGGCTATTAGATAATACTTGCCGATTTATTTAATTTAATTTCAATCAATAGTTATAATACGTACACATACCGACATATTCACATACGTATGTGGTATTACGTTTTCGTGTCAACTTAACGGCTACTTTGGTATGCTATTACTTTAGCTGTATGGGGTTTGAACTCAAAAAATGTATTACTTAACGAATTGGAATAATCCGGTTTTAAATATTATAACGACCAACTATAGTCCTGAACGTGTTTAAAACGACGATCGAAAACTGTAGAGCATAGGAGTCTTATGATACGGACTAATAAAAATAAGTTATTTTCTACCCATACCGGATTACAGTTCCTATATATTTGTAAATTAAAGAACCAAAGTAAATTTGTATATGGTTTACTTTGTTTTACTTTATATATAAAATAATAAAAACAATAACAAAGGAAATTCATTAAACTAAGACAATTACATATAATATAAAGAAGTGGTTCTCAATGTTTTTTTGTATTACGACACTATCACATTAGATACATTAAAATGGCGATACGTTTGAAACAATTAATGTATTTTAAAATTTAAGAATTACAAACTTTTGTAAATTAAAAATTTATATGTTGATATTTTATTTAAAAACATTTTTTATTGACTTATTTGAAATTTAACAGATCAAATAAAGTAATATAAGAAACAGTATCAGTTCATTAAGATCAGTGCCTGGTTAAGTCTTCGTTTTGTGGGTGAATGGTTGACAAACTTACGCGTAATTTACTCTTAATATCTTTTTTTAATTTTTGTTATTTCTAATATCGAAAATGCTGATTCACACATTTATGATGTCGAAAGAAAGAGAAACTCAGAGAAAAAAACTATAGCTATAAATTAATTGAAGAATCAATAATAAAACAATTTATGAAATTATCAATGACAATTGTAATGTAAATAAGACGTTTTAAATTTACATAAGATATTATATATTAAAAACTATAGTTCAATAACCGTTAAAGTGCCTAGAGATAAATAGTTTTGGTACATTGACTAGGTTAGTTACAAAATTACGTAATTTCACTTTCGACACGTGTCAATGCCAAATTAGACAATCAAGGTGACTTTAGTCCTTTATAACTGTCAAAAATGAAATTAGTATTAATTTAGCATTTTTATTGTTATAAACGTTTCCTCTTATATCTTACTGTGAAATATTTTATTATTTTCCATAAATTATGTTTTGTTTTCAATGTTAAAAAAAAGTAAATAAATATCTTTTAGTCATTAAAGTAATTTTTAAAAATTAATTCCTCTTTAGATAATCTTAAATTACTTTGTTTCATGTATAACATACAGGTAGACATTATTTCTCAACTTTATGATACCTAATTGGTTTTTTATGCTGAATCAAACATTAAAAAAAAAAAATAAACGATTTTATGATTTTTAACCAGTAAAAGGAAATACAGAAAGAGTCTTAAATGCTATATTAAAAACTTTACAACTATATGTATTACACAGATCTTATGTTTCTTCGATTTTTTCATATCAGTAATACTTTAATGGAATTATTTTAAATACAATTATAGGTATATACAATTTATGATATTTAATTGCATTATTAATTTTGTATTATTTTTTACAGATACAGATTTACCAAATGAATGCCAATTCGCAGATTGTAGTTTTCTTCATTCCAACACTTGCCGAGAACACCGCCTTATTACTGCCTGTTGTTGTAATCAGTTCCTTGCACATAAAAAGTAAACTAAATATTATTTCTACAAGCATTGTTAAATTTTGAATTCTTTAATAAATAATGATTTTACATAAATATTTTAATTTTAGCTTAACTAATAACGTAAAAAAGTTTTTTGTAGTAAAACAGATAAAAATAAGAAAAAAAAAAAATGTTGAAAACTAAGTTTAGATTATGTATTTAGTTATTGTTATTATTTTTATAAAAATTTACTTTTGAACATTTCATTGGTGTAATTGTTTATTTGTATAGTTTATAACTGACATACCATCCAAATTATTAATAGAAGTGCACATTTAAAATTGTTGAATTATTATAAATATTTTTAAAATTTATTTAAAACATTTAAGTAAGAGTATGGATTGTTTTATGGTTATATCTTAATTTATACAATTCAATATTAATTTTTTTTTAGTTTTTGAAATTTAATTAAATTTATTTTTAGTCAACACTTTAAATTTTAAAATTGTATATTAAATAAATTATCGATTACGACTTAAATTAACTTACTTTTACTTATGTATTCTGTATTCAGATATATTCAATTGTTATATGATATTGAATTTTAAAAGTGTTTAGAAGAATTATATTTACATAATTTAAAAACAAATTTAGAATACAATGAACTGTAATCTCTATTTTTAAGTAATAATAATGGTTATAAGTTGTTTATAAATTAAAAAAGAATCATTTAATTTGGGTAAAATAATAAGTAAGTAATCTTTAATTTATTGAAAAAGCTGCATACATCTATTTCTGTTTATTTAAGATTTATTATGTTCATTGTAAAAATAATGAAATAGTATGTATATATTTAGTATAGAATAGTAATACATAATAATATGTATAGGAAATGCTACCCTTATATGTACTTAATAGGAATAAACAAATGGTTAACAATATTATAATAATACGTAAGAAATAATTTAATTTTTATTAAAATTTATAATACTTTAACTACATTTTCTTATAATAATATTTAAATATTTAGTTATACATTATACTACATATATTATCGAATTATTGTTTATGTGTTATATTTTATTTTAGTATAGTACTAATAATCATCGTAATATTATTGGCGTAACTTTGACATAGAATATTAGTACCTTTTGAGGCTTTGAAAATAAGCTTGATTCTAATTTTAATCAATCTTAAGTTCCCAACATATCCCAAGATCTAAATCTTAAATGTAGATGTGTCAATGTTTTTAATAGATTAAATAATAATTATATCATATTATATACAAATAATATTTTGTAGAACACTTAATAATTTTTATACGATATTTTTTTTTATATAATAAATTATAGATTAATTTTTTTTTAAATATTTTAGTTAAAATATTCCAAATATTGTGTATTTGTTATAATATATTAACCATAATTTAACTACGAGTAATATATAGGTATACTGTCTTAATAACCGTTCAATTATTTTTACGTTTTATAACAAATATTTGTTGTTAAAAGCATTAAGTTTGGAGTATTATACAGATAAGCGATGTTGTAGACAAATTTGGTGACCGGTTTTACGTCGTCAAATTCTTTGGATCACGGACGATAAATGCCGTCAAATAAGGATTACCTATTTTAATATTGCTAGGATGGTATGACGGGAGGTGGTGGTGTAATAACATTTACAATTAATTATAATCTTATTTATACTCGTATATCAATACTTATTAAAAAAAAAAAGTGGATTAAGCTCCCAAGTTGAGTAAGATAAGGGAACGATTGAATGATTTTGATACACTAATCTTTTAAACTTGAAATCAATGAGCTTATGCTCGTGAAAAAATGATACTGAGTGATGAAGGCTGGATGGTTCAGTACATACAAAGATGGTTAATATAACGGTAGAACCAAATTTCTTAATAAGTTAGATTGAACTTTTAATGTTCTAATATTTTATTTCATTATATTATATATTACTATTATTATATTATTATAATATATTATATTATATTTTATTTTATTATATAATATTATATTTATATATATTTTTATAATTTTTTATAATATATTTTTGTCCGAATTTTCAAATTTAAAATTTGGGAAAAATCGATAGTTATAAGTACCTACCAACATTTAAAATTTCTTTTAACTATTTTGAAAATTTTGAAAATTTTTAAATGCTAATATAAGTACTTAGTAAATGTGTTGAGTCACTAAGTTTTATATTTATAGAATAATAACTAAATAAGTAATATCATATAATCAAAAATCGTTTCAAAAATCAATTTGGAATACTTACAAATATTTTTTGCGATATTCCTGTCAAGTTTTTTTTTTCGTACAAATATTTATATAAAATATTTAACTACAAAAATGTAATGGATTTTCGTAATTTTTGTCGTTTTGTCAGTATGTAATACTTAAACGTACATAAAAAATTGTTAATTTGTTAATTTTTTTTTTATAAAATTACAACTAAGAGGAACTTTGTATTATATTTTCTAGATTTCTTGTCAATATTTTATGAAAGAAAGTTAATAATATAAAAAATGTTCATGTATTTTAAGTAGCTCAAAAAAGTTGAAGTCTTTGATAGTTATTCCACATAAACTTACATCTATAACCTAGAGTGATATATTTAGTAAAAAGTATATATTCAAAATGAATTTTTTTTTAGTTTTGATAAAAAAGATTATTCGATTTTTTCAATAACCGGTGTGTCGTAAATATTACCATATTTTTATAACTTTTAGTTAGTTTTTTGCAATCATTAAAATATATGTTGAGATATTCGTAAAATGACTTCCTCGGTACACCATATATACACAATTTTCTATCAGAAACTCCTATGGGTTTGACATAAGAGCAATACTTCTGGTCGAAATTGTATATACAGAAACATAAAACACATGCATCATGATAAAATCAAATAATTTACTTGGTACGTAAAAAAAAACCTGGAAACTTTTGTAAATATTTGCTGTGGCAAATAATCGAGAAAATCTCCGAATTTTAAGTTTTACCAATTTTCAAAAAATTATAGATTAGAAACATGGAAAATTAATTCGGATACTAACTTTCCTTTAACAATAACATACACAAATAAATGTGTGTAACTTTTATAACCCTCACAGTTACGAAACAGCGTGAACTAAACAATTGAAGATCCATGAATAAAACTTTCTTTGAATTATCAAAGCATCAGGTACTTTCTTAAAAGGACGTAATTAAAAATATTGAACTTAATATATATGTAATAGATGCCATTTTCGTTGATTATAACTTATAATTTATAAGCCATAAACAAAAATAAGCACAAAATATCATTCAAAGAAAGGGAATTCCCGAATCCGTCACAGAATAAGTAATGAAAAATTCCGTGCTCTTTTCATTCGGTCTGAATTTATAGTTGCGTTAAAAATATGAAATGGTTCAAATATTTACAAAATATATTTTATTATTTACTGTGAAATTTTTCTGCCCCCTAAAAAGTGCCATCCGGATCGGGCCCCCCTGCCCACCCATCGCTATGTCACTGATATATATACAATTTAAACTTAAATAAATCTAATATCCTTCAAAATATTATCCTTCTGCACAGACTCATTTACCCCTACTGTCAGAACTCATGGAAACATCTTTATTATCCTTCTATTAATATGGCCCTGAGATTTTCTATTGCATACATTTTAATGTCTTAAATCGTTGCAAAACGTTAACCTTTAAGTCCAAGTTTTAGTGCCGGAAATAGCCAGATGTAACATTGTGCAATATTTGGTTAATACGGGGGTTATGAAATGATGGATATTTTTTTTTCATCAGCTTAAAATTATTAAACTGCAAATAATAAGTGACTCGGTGCATTGTTGTGATGCAAAACCATTTTAACCATTTTTCTATTTTTCTGGTATTTTTTGAAAAATCGAATCTCTTAAACGTTTTAAATTTCATTCTAAAAACTAGGGTTAACTATTTGTTCATTCAGTACAAATTCTCAATTAACTAAAATTTGACCAAGTTAAAACAAATTCTAATGTTAACCCATTGTTCAAATTATGACATTTTGAAAAAATGCATATTTTCTGCTGTTTCATATGCACATTTTTACAGAAAATATATAAATAATAATTTATCTATGTGCAAGTTTTTATGCCAAATAGAATCTTTATTTATTTTTTTAATATATGCTGTTAGATATTTATCTTATTTATTTTATATTCAACTAATTATATGTATCTTAATTGATCACAACGATAATAGTTGTCCTACGTCAGAAATGTGATTAATATATTATGTGTTCATTAAATAAATTAAATTGTAATTTAATCAGGTAAATATAATAACATTAATAAATATAGTTTAAAAATTATTGTTTTTTTGGTGTACAAATGGTTTTGAAAAGAATTATGTTTTTTTTTTCAAATTGATTACATTCAAAATATTGTTTCGACATTAAAGTGATAGATCGAAATACGCTTTATTTCTATTTATTTTACAACCGTTAACATAAGACAGAGCTGTATAAAAAAAAATCCATACATATAACTTACTTCATGATGGCTAATAATAATACAAACGAAAATACACAAACAATATAGTAGATATCGTTGATAAGTTAAACATAGATGTACACTAAAAAAAAAAAAAAATAAAAATATTGATAAAATTAAACATACAGTGGCTACATACAATGCCCCGAAAATACCGGGGTTGATAGAAATCTCGAAATAGAATAACACATAGATAACGGTATAGCATGTATAGTGTTAAGGTGGAACGTTTTGTATATATACAATAGGTATTATATTATAACATATTGGTACTTTGTGCGCGATGCCGCATAGTTAACTTACAAAAGTTCCCGTTATTATACGTAAATTCATAATTCAATACATTGTACAAGTATTTCTTAGTTTTCTTAAAATCATTTTTGGATATGCTAATAATCTATTATGTTCTTAGACATAATATGTTAATAATGTAAAACGTATACTTGTCTATCTCAGTCGAGCTTGCATTTAAATAATAAGAATGGTATGGAAGTGGGAAAAATTATCCTTAAAACTGCAGTCATTTTATTATTTGTTTTATTAATATCCACGCAAACTAATAATAACAATTTTTATTTATAAACCATATTATTTTATATGATGACGTCCACATTATACTATCTCTAAACTAAAAAAGGGAGTAATGGTAAGAAATATTTCATTTTAAATCATGCACAGACAATGCTTACTTCGATAATAATCAATCAAATTATATTATTTTGACGACGAATGAATTGCCGTTGTGTAGTTTATTTTTATATTTTTAATGTTACATTGATGTTTATCTTTCTGAAGACAGTAAAACTAAATATTTAAATTTGTAAATAATAGGAACATGAATTATTGAAATCGTTGAAAATTGCCGAGTGCATTTACATATGTGACTTTACTACGATAAAAAAGTATGATAATATATTGTATTTTAGATTCGGAACTATCAGTTTTGAACAAGTGTGTTTTTCTTAATTGTTTTGAGAGTATTTCAGTGCATTATTCAAACGGAAGCAATTTAAATAATGCGAGTCCTCTGTATATTTATTTTATGAAAACTATTTATCGAAGTTGTAATGTAAAATGAAATGACATGGAAATTGAATATTACAGATACAAATTAATTTAAAAATGGTGATTTTATATTTTACTCTGAATAGTTTTCAGAAATTCTAAACATAATAACTTTTAAATAATTAAAAAAAAAAAAAAAAAAACAATACTTATTATGATATATAATACAATTATATTTGTTTTTGAATACGTACATAATACTCAGTATTATAATCATATTCTAGAGCAGTTCTCATCATACTTACATTAAATCTCAGCATTTTTTGCATTGTTAAAGTAGCAATCGTAATAGTAAAAATATAATGTTATTAAAAAAATCGATTTAACTAAAGAAAAAATGTGATAGGTAAAAATTACGTATCTCAAGTATATCAGCGTTTTTTTTATATCAGTGTTACTGATTGATAATGTGCAAATAATTTGTGAAGTTTTTTTTTTTACAAATGTCTACAATGTCTAATATAATCTATGTAGATAGTATGTACAAGAAGTATTTGGTATGTGAAAATATATAATTTTTACATTAATGTTAGTCAAAATTAGTTTATAAAATAATAAAAAAAAAGTAATTTTTTTTTTTTATGTTTTATGAAATATTAATATATGATTCAAAATATGTTTTAATGAAAAAAAAATTAAAAAAAAAATTATTAATCTTTATAAGTCAAAAAGCAAAAATACTAAGTTACTATCAAATAAATAATGGTAACTCTCCGAAGAAAAAAAAGTTTTATTTGATATGATTTTAAAATTATAGTGAAATATATTAAATAAATAATATCGTATATGTTTGCTTTTCAATTTTATAAAATATAATATTAAACCATTGTTATATCTTATTTATTGGTGCAAGTGTTTTTGAAAATATTTTGAATATAAAATAATTCACAATAGTAAATTAAAACGATTTTTAAACTATAAATTTCGCAAACAATTTGATGCATAAGTAATTAAAAAATGTATCAAAGTGCCATAATGTATTTTTAAATAAACAAATATTGACTTTGATACTGAGTATTAAATATATAATTTTTTTTCCATGGATAGTAAAAGTTACTTTTACCCTTTTTATTTTTATATATGTCTCAAAAAATATTAATAATTAGAAGTTTTCTAAAATAAAGCTAGTTATTATATCAATAAAAAATAATTTTAAAATTTAATGATTAAAGATTAATTTAATTACAATTTGTACTAGTAAATGAATTTTTAGTTTATGTATCGGTTTTATAACATTATATAGTTTATTTTTACTTTCACTTGATATGACATAAACCAGTGGTTCTTAACCGAGGTGACATGTCACCTAAGGTTGACATGAACACAATATAGGGATAACACGAAATCTCCAAGGGAAAAGGAAAAAAATAAAAAAAAACAATTATTTTTAATAAAATTATATTATTGCCAGAATTGTCAAGTAAATAGCATATCTTTAAGTTTGTATCTTTATATTATTTAGATCAGATAAATACGTGCAGTATTTTGATTTTCGAAATTGCTTCATTATCGATTATTTTACTGATTTAACCGGGGTCGTTAGTCAGTTATTTTGCAGTCGCTAAATATGTAGTGTTATAGCTCTACAACTCGAGAAAACAATATGAAACTCGATCTTTCCACCATCAGCCTTCGACTTGCTCAACTTTGTAAAAACCACCAGGGCCCAATCAGTTTTCATACAATTCACTTTTTCTTTTTTAACATTTTCAAATTAAAACTTTTAATTGTCAATGTTTATTGAACTCTGCAACTCAAATAACTTGTAGGTATACTTATTATTTTTCTGTGTTCTGTATTTCTTTTTTTTTTTATATTTCAAGAATTATTCTAAAATACTCAGTTAAAATTATTTATTAATTTGATGTTAGGGTGACGTGGTGTTTTATTCTAGTAGCTAAAGGTAACATGAATGAGAGAAGAATGAGAATCACTGGCATAAACAATGAATAGCAGCTTTGGTTTTGTTGTTGTTATTATTGTTCGTAATATTTTAGTGAATATAATTCTAATATAAATAATTCTGGTTGATTTATTTTCAAAATTGTATGGCTTAAGTATCAATAACATAAAAACAGTGGTTAACATCAAAGAATCTAGAAAGATAATTTACAATTGTAACAAAATATAAGAAATGCATAGGTTGTTCAAAATTAAAACAAAAACAAGATTGTAATACAAAACATTCAAAAATAGTTCGGATTCCGTTCAAAGTTATTTTTTGCTGCATACAGTTGTAATAATGTAAATGTAGTTTTTTTTATAAATTAATGTAACAAATTTACGAAAAACACTGATGAATAAATATAATAACGACCTATGTCAAACTACCATTCAAAACATAGCATTTATACGACCGAAGCGCTATAAAAAATATTTGAAAAATCTGTTTTTAATGATATTTTAAAGAGTAAAATACCTTTTGGGTTTCTTTTTGTTTACATAGTTACATCGCATTATGTCATTATAATAATATGTTTATAACTATTGAACATTTTTACAGAATTTAGTGAACATTTCATCGAACAACGCTATTCTAAGCGAAAACGATTTCAGAATCTAAAGGATTACAGATTTGATATGTATTAATAAGCGATAAGTTTCTACGCAGCCGAACTATAACGGCGGTAAACACGCTATCTTTCGAATTTCAAAACGCGCGTGATTTTCCTGTGACATATTGACGTTTGCTACGCAAACACTATTTTTGGAAAAATCGCGTCAGCCATTTGTGGTTCATGATTTATTAATCTCTATTCCAGACGATCCGGGCGGTGGCTTTTAACACCCAACTTAGATAATGTGCACCGTGTGCACGTAAATACGCTATAGCACACGTAACGCCAACTGCGGCGATCGGACGTGATCACACCGATCGTATACAACGCCCCGTTAACGTCCACCCGAACGCGAGCGCCGAAGTTCGCGACACCCTGCGAGTGTTGAACAACGCATTTCGGCGGGCACGCGCGAAGACCGCGACGGAACGCGCGCTCGCGCGTCCAAACGTCCTCGGTATCGGCAACAGCGTCGGTTAATGGACACGCGAACGGTTCGCGACTGCACCGGGAACCGTTTCGCGCGCGCGACCGAAACGGACGAAGGTTGCGCGGTACGGGCACGTGAGACGTATCGTGGGCTTTTATCGCACCATAACCTATGTCCCGTCACTCGTCCGTCACGCGACGCCGTAGGACGGTACGAAATTCCGTATCGTCGTATTGAGGCAGGTACCTCTACGAACACGTATAGCATGACATGACACGCGTTTGTGTGAAAATGCGGTAAACACCGCGGCGTCGACGGCGGCAGAGGCATCGGGGGGGGGGGGGGG